CTGGGGCCTCACTCAGCAAAGTAATTCTCAAAATTCTCCAAGGTAGACTTCAACAGTACATGAACTGAAAAGTTATAGAGGTTCAAGCCTGATTTGAAAAAGGCAGAGGAACCAGTGATGAAATTGCCAACATCCATTGGATCAAAGAAAAATCAAGAGAATACCAGAAAAACATCTACTTCTGCTTTCTTGACTATGCCAAAGTCTTTGACAGTGTGGATCACAAGATTCTATTCAAAATTCTTCAAGAGATAGGAATACCAGTCCACCTTATCTGTCCCTTGAGAAATCTGTATGCAGGTCAAGAAGCAATGGTTAGAACCAGACATGGAAAAATGGACTAGTTCCAAATTGGGAAAGGAGTATGTCAAGGCTGGATATTGTCACCCTGCTTATTTAACTTATATGCAGAGTACATCATGTGAAATGCTGGGCTGGATGAAGCACAAGCTGGAATCAAGCTGGAATATTTCTGCCGGGAGAAATATCAATAACCTCAGATATGCAGATGACACCACACTTAAGGCAGAAAGTGAAGAGGAACTAAAGAGCCTGTTGGTGAAAGTGAAAGAGGAGAATGAAAAAGCTGGCTTAATGTTCAGTGTTCAAAAATCTAAGATCATGGGATCTTGTCCCATCACTTCATGGCAAATAGATAGGGAAACAATGGAAACACTGACAGACTTTATTTTCTTGGGCTACAAAATCACTGCAAATGGTGACACAGCCATAAAATTAAGAGATTCTTGCTCCTTGGTGGAAAAGCTCTGACAAACCTAGACAGCATATTTAAAAGCAGAGACATTACTTTGCTGACAAAGGTCTGTCTAGTGAAAGCTGTGGTTTTTCCAGTAGTCATGTATGGATGTGAGAACTGAACCATAAAGAAACCTGAGTGCCAAAGAATTTATGCTTTTGAACTGTGGTGCTGGAGAGGACTCCAGAGTCCCCAGGACTGCAAGGAGATCAAACCAGTCAATCCTAATGAAAATCAGTCCTGAATATTCACTGGAAGGACTGATGCTGAAGCTAAAACTCAATACTTTGGCCACCTGAGTGAAGAACTGACTCATTGGAAAAGACCCTGATGCTCGGAAAGATTGAAGGTGGGAGGAGAAGGGGAACCGAGGGTGAGATGGTTGGATGGCATCACCAAGTCAATGGGCATGAGTTTGAGCAAGCTCTGGGAGTTGGTGAAGGACAGGGAAGCCTGGCATGTTGCAGTCCATGAGATCACAAAAAGTTGAATATGACTGAGCGACTGAACTGAACAGGCTTTTCACTGCAGTGACTTCTCTTGTGGAGCATGGGCTCTAAGCACACAGGCTTCAGTAGTTATGGTGCTTGGGCTTAGTTGCCCCTTGGGGGCATGTAGGATCTTCCTGGACCAGGGGTTGAACCTGTGTCCCCTGCATTGGCACCTGGATTCTTATCAACTCTACAGCCAGGGAAATATAAAGCACTTCTCTAAAAATGATTCATGATTTATTCAGTCATTTTGCTTTTGCTGAACTTAGAAGTTAGGATGTTTCTAAATTCTAATTTTATAGTAAGCACTGCTCTGAGAAACATGAAAGTGAAAGTTAGTTGCTCAGTCATGTTCTAGTCTTTGTGATCCCATGAACTACACCCTGCTAGGTTCCTCTGTCCATGGAATTCTTCAGGCAAGTGTACTTCCTGCAGTGGGTTGCCATTTCCTTCTCTGTGGGACCTTCCCAATCCAGGAATTGAATCTGGGTTTCCTGCATTGCAGGCAGATTATTTACTGTTTGAGTATTTGTACTGTTTATAGCTGACTTTTTATCTTCTTCATCTTCAAAGTGGAAATTTTATTGAGTCACAAAGAATGAACATTTTTAAGGCTCTTAGTAATAAATATTGTTAGATTATTTTCTGAAAAAACTATTCTAATTTATATTTTGCCAATAATATACTACAGTGCCTATCAGACTTTGCCTTCATTAGGATGGGGTATTCTGGTTTTTCTGTTTGTTTGTTTTTTTATATATATCTATTAGGCCTCTTTATTTGGCTGAAAAACATTTGAAGTGTGAAATTGCATGACACAATTTGCGCCAGCAGCATCATGAAACATCCTTAATTTAACAGGGTAAGAATGAATGTGTTTGTGTTATTTTATTATTTTTTTATTCTTTTGCTGAAATTTCCTTTTTACCTATTCTTTTTCTAGATTGTGAGCCTAATGAAAATAGGAATTTCAATTTTTTAGGTATATTCTTTTGCGAGGACATCTTTATCAACTCTTAATAGTTTCTGGACAACTCATCTCAGTAATGGACTAGTGTTTCCAATGAACTGAAAACAAAATAACTCGATTCCATTATTATTATAGCATCTTAAAGGAAGATCAAATAGAATATATTGACAGAAAATAAGGAGTTTTGTTTAAGTTTTTATACCAGAACTCTCTGTAAAAGTGTCATAATGCAAGTATGTCTGAGAGCCAGTGGGAAGTGACACAAGTAATTCATTACTAGTAAAAAGTTCTGAAATGTGAGGATTATTTCTTTTCATGAATTAGATCACATTCAAGGTTTTTATGTCCAGAAGAGGATGCTAAGAAGTTTCAAAAGATCTTAGTTTTTTTTAAAAAAAAAGAAAAAAATAGACAGCAGAAGCTAAAGGGACTGAATGTATCTGTCAGTTTGGAGATGGCTAATTATGGTCCTGAGATAGTTGTGGGGACCAGACAGAACAGTCTGGGGCAAGGAAGTCTGACAAGGAAGTCACTAGACTTCCAACTGTAGCAACCAATCCCTTCATTTTTGAAGTATAACTAGTTGCTGAGTGTTTACAGCACTGGAAAATGTAGGGAATGTAAAAGAGAACTGTAAATCAGGACAAGTCTGGTACCATACATTGTGGACTGCATTATCTGAGAGAGAGTTGACACAAGAAAGGTAGGTAATTGAAAAATTACAATTTTCAGCTCTAATCATTCTTCTTTTTTGCAACAGAAAATTTCAAACTTGCATGAAATATCAAGAAAATAGTGTAATAAATTCTCATCATGCCCATCAATACAAAATTATCAACACCTTGCCATTCTTATAAGTTTGACTCATTAAAAAAAAGTCTGAATACATTAAAGGTTTCTTTAAAATCAATCTCCCCTCTGGCATTTAGGTATAATTGACAAATAGTATATATATTTAGATGTTCAACATGTTGACTTGATTTACATATACATTGTGAAATATTCATCACAACTGAGAGAGTCACTTCCTAGGTAGGTTGATAAGAAGTCCAGGGTCCCCGAGGAGGAGAAAGGGGTCGGGAGCCCTCAAGAAGAAGAAAGGGGTCTGGGGCTCTCAAGGAGAAAAAGACAAACTTTTTTCCTACATTGCTTTGTGGTAGTCAGCATAACAATGTAGCTTGCTCCAGGACATGTTTCTCCTTCTTGAGAACCTTCTGACTAATCCTGTCATCTTCAAATGTATGTTGTGGGAGTGGGTCTGGTAAAATATATAAGGCCTTGGTAAGACTACCTAGTGGGGGCACTCTCCATCTCCCGCCCCCATTCCCCCTTCTGATGTCTACGTCAGAAGATTTCTCTGTCCTTTTTCATAGTTTACTAAAACTCTGCTGCACAAAAGCTCTTGAGTGATCAAGCCTGTTCCCTGTAGCTAAATCTTCTACTTCGGAGATCACAAATTTGACACCATTCGCCGTAAGCTATTACAACCAAGCCAATCAACATGTCCATCACTTCACACTTTTGCCATTTTATTTTCTTTTTTATGTTGAGAACTACTACTCTTTAAGCAAATTAAAAGTACACAGCAATATTATCACATTGCTGTACACCAGTTTTCTAGAACTTACCTTTTCATCTTGCATAACTGAAGCTAAAAGCCATCATTAATAATACCAATTTTAGCCAAGGTATATGAGAAATTATTAAAGAATAATATGGTGATCTTGTTGTAGGTACATAAATTTTTAACTTTCTTCATTTAGAGTAGAAGGGAAGAGAAACTGTTGAGCTGGTAGCTAAACACTTATGAATAGGAGCCCAAGATTTTGTTCATTCAGTCCTGCAGTCATTCATTCATTCATTCACACCACATATTCTAGGCAGTTTTCACACATACTATCCATCTACCAATGAGACAACCATGCTGGGTTGTCTCAAACCCAAGACCTTGGACAAGTGCTGTCCTTGAGCCTCATCTTTCTCATCTGTAGGATAGGGACAATACCTTTCTGAACAGGACGTTGTTAGAGTTGAAATTGAAGTAAGGTCCCCAGAAATGTATTTTGTGATATATACTTATCTAAGTTTGGAAAGCATGATGAAAGAAATTAGGAGGCAGTTTCTCTCCCCCCAGAGTCCCCTTTCCCAGTCTAAGAGGGCAGCGAAAAGCTCACAGAGGTTCCCTCACAATGCAACGTGTGAGATGCCACAGGACATCTCACGTGGGCTGTTCATGCCTTCCACCATCTCTCTCCAGGCTGTCCCTGCAGCCCATGGGGAGCTTCGGAGCAGCAGAGGAGGGCAGAGCCTGAGCCTCCCCTCTTCGCCTCTGGGGGAGTGCCTGGGCTCAGAACAGGAGTTTCAGCAGAGTTTGCAGCCAGGTGGGATCCTTGGAGCTGGTTTGTTCCTGCTGTCCAGTCTACCCTCGTCCACCAAAGAGCCGGTGGCCTTGCCTCCCAACTCGCATGCGGCTCCTGGAAGCTTTGGCCTGACTGCCTCTACGTCCTGCAGCCCCACACAGGGCCCTACTTCTCCCAGAGCGGTGACAGCAGGAGGTGACCCGGCGACCCGGAGGCGACCCGGGAGGCTGCGCAGTCCCGGGAGGCGGAGACTGCGGGCTGTGGGAGCTCCACCCCCAGAAGCCTGGGTTCTCCAGGCCCGCCCAGCAGACCCCGAAGGCGGAGTGGTCTCCAACATCTCCGCCGTCGCCTCCAGGAGCAGCGGGAGCCTCACCGCGGCCACAGCAGCGCAGGGCCGCTCCACGCCCGCCCCGGCCGGCGCGATGCTGCCGAGGTACCCGGAGGTGAAGCCCAACCCACTGCAGAAGGCAAACCTCTGCTCGCACCTGTTCCTCTGGTGAGCGTCCCCCGGCCGTGATACGCGGCAGTCACGGCGCCCTCCGCTGCCCGCGCCTTTCGGAAACAAGTGTGGAACCTCCCAACGCTGTCCTGCTGCCCCCTGCACCCTAGGAAGGCGGAGCACGACTGGGCAAGGAAGTGGGGAGCAGGGGTGGGGAGGGGACTCGGGGATCTGGTGGCGGAGGTACAGGGTCTCCGTGCCTTGCTGCCGGCAGCCCCTCCAGAGCCAGAGAGCAGGAAGTGGGAAGGCTGCCAGGGGGAATCACAGCCCAGTGGGAAATGCACTGAGCATCCCGCCTCTACTCTTACCGGCTTCCCCTGAACTGCTCAGGAATTCCCAGTTCTGAACTGAAGCGTCACACCCCCACCACCTACCCCATCCCCAGCCCCAAGCAAGCAGCTTATGAACAGCTTCCTTCATCTAATTAGTGCCTTAGACCGTTGTTCAGTCGTTCAGTCATGTCCGACTCTGCAACCCCGTGATGGCAGCACTGCCGGTCTCTATCCCTCACCGTCTCCAGAGTTTGCCCAAGTTCATGTCCATTGCACCCATGATGTGATGTCATCTATATATGTCATTGTCTGACACCCTCTTCTCCTGCCCTTAATCTTTCCCAGCATCAGACCCTTTTCCAGTGAGTCATCTGTTTGCATCAGATGACCAAAATATTGGCGTTTCAGCTTCAGCATCAGTCCTTCCAAAGAATATTCATGGTTGATTTCCTTTAAGACTGACTGGTTTGATCTCCTTGCAGTCCAAGGGGACTCTCAGAAGTCTTCTCCAGCGCCACAGTTGGAAGGCATCAGTCCTTCAGTGCTCACCTTCTTTGCCATCTTTCAGTGATGTCCCCGCCTTTCCCCACATGCCCTGTGTGACAGTGTGTTCCAGCTGCACTGGGTCCCCTCTGCCCCCAGGTCTGTGACCCTGTGTTTCTTTCCCTTTCCTTTTCTCCCTGTGTGGCTCTCACTGTATGTCCTGGTTCCTAGTTGTGGCAAATTTCACATGGGTAAAAGATGAAAGGTTTTTTATTTAATGATTGGGAACACTTCTTGAACACGTTTTGCTTTTGCCTTGGACACACAGCCAGGATTGGAGGATGTATTTGACCAGCCCCTTTCCTTATTTTGAATATCTCCACTTACATCTTTGAAGACCACTCTGGAGATAGAGTCTCTGAAGCCTGTGAGGTCTTTCCCAATCTCTAGCCTTCAGAGAAGCAGTGCATGGTCTTGATGCAGGTGGTCCTGCCCAGGAGTCATTTGTTCCTGAAACCACTGAAGGGTCCCTGAGCCCAGAGGAAACACACAGATGAAAAAGAGCTCAGAGAGTTGAAGCTATTAACTGAAGTGTTCCATGTGGTAGGTGGGACCACTAACTATGTGGTCCTGAACCTTTGGACTTTAATCACACTTGGATGATTACTAGTTGTTTTATTTCTGGACCCTAACCCATTTATCTTTCCCCCCCAGTTCTAGTATTTCCTTGTTTTATGGGACAGCCCGGGAGATCTCCAGGGATTGGGAGCTCCTATGCTTGTTTTGATGGTGGTGTATTCAATGTGTGTAACTTCATCTCTTGGCCATTTGGTGGCCCTTAAGGAAAGAGAGGCCTAGAAGAAGGAATATGGGTATGGTTACTGTAAATAATAATAAAGTAGGAAAAATTCTCCTTAACTTCAGGCAGGGCAAGGAACTTTCTAAATACCTTCTGTTTGTGAATTTTCAAAATGTGAAATGGGAAGGTGATGACTTTTCATTGATTTGGTTAAGCACCCATTTCCAGTTTTCCTGCTGGGGGGAAAGGCACTATTACCTCTTATTTTATACTTGAAGGCACTGAAGCAGAGAGGTTGAGTAAGTTGCTTACTGCCACACAGCCAGTAAGTAATGGAGCAGGATCCCAAGTCAAGCAGGCTGGCTCTGAAGACGGTGTTCCTTGTACATGTAACTCATGTCACCAGATTGGTCTCCTGCCTTGTGCACAGTTGTGTCCAAGTCTTTGCGATCCCGTGGAATGTAGCCCACCAGGTCCTCTGTCCGTGGAATTCCCCAGGCAAGAGTATTGGAGTGGGTTGCCATTTCCTTTCCAATTTTGGGCGTAACTATTTCTAACCAGTTTTTATTTTTCTCTGTAACTTCCTCCTTTGAGCCTGGGATTCAGACAAAAGCAGGAAGTGAACAGGAAAGAGTTAGTCACTCAGTTGTGTCCAACTCTTTGTGACCTCATGGACTGTAGCCTGCCAGGCTCTTCTCTCCATGGGATTCTCCAGGCAAGAATACTGGAGTGGATAGCTAAAATAGATATGATTGTCACCTGCCTGAAGTCCCAATTTCTCACACCTGGGTAAAGACCGGATAAAACTAATGATGCAGTTGGGGATACACAGACCAAAGAGCAGGAGAAGGAGAATAATTGTAAGGGGTCCTAAGAATGGCAGAAGCCCGGGAAGCTGAGATTGCCCTTTTGATACTGTCCCACCCAAATTTGTTCAGTCAGGGCCCTTCTTGTTCTGAGTATTTGATCAAGCGACTTTCTCTTCATTGAATTTTTACTGGAGTACAGTTGATTTAAAATGTTGTGTTAGTTTCTGCTCTACAGCAAAGTGAATCTGTTACACATATACAAATACACACTCTCTTTTAGATTCTTTTCCTATGTAGGCTGTTACAAAGTATAGAATAGAGTTCTCTGTGCTGTACAGTAGGTCCTTCTTAGTTATCTGTTTTATATATTATAGTGTGTGTATGTCAAGCCCAGTGTCCCAATTTGTCCCTCCTCTCACCCCCTGGTAACCATAGGTTTATTTTTTTTCCTACATCTGGGACTCTAAGTCTATTTTGTAAAGAGTTCATTTGTAGCCTTTACTTACATTCCACGTATAAGTGATGTCATATGATATTCATCCTTCTCTGTCTGCAAGCAGCCTTCTCTAACAGTCAGGTTGCACTGTCTTCTATTTGACCACTCACGTTAACATAGAAACAACAGGAAATTGTTGCAAGGGCACAAACTCCTCCTTGATCAGCCAGCAGGTAATCAGGAGCTATGCAGTGGTCCAGTGTCATGTGGACCAGAGGCCCAGTGAAGATTTCATCTTTCCAAAGTTAGAGCCAGGTTCTTTAGTTGCCCAGGCCAATGTTCGAGTGCTTTTTTTTTTTTTTTAATTGTCTTGGCTTTATAAATTGCTTCTCGTGCTAGGCTCACCAAGGATGCTACAGGGGCGACAACTCCTTCTATTACCAGTCCAGTCCAGCTCCCTCCTGACTAGATGAATGGCTCCATTTAGATGGGAGGTGGGGTGAGTGTAATTAAAATCTGAATGTGACCTGGATCAGGGTGTGCGCCTTGTATAGCCCAGTATCCACTAGTAGAGTTTTCTTGGAGACAGTTGATGGCCCAACATGGGTAGTCCTGGCCCCAGGAGCCTTGAAGACCCTCAGGGGTGCACTGTCTTTGGGTTTTCTTGAGTCCTGTTTAGACTAATGGTGGCGCCCTTCCGCCCAGGATACTGCTTCCATAGACCAGACCCCTCCAGGTCTGGTATGATTCTGTTCCCAGAGCCCTTGGGCATGGTCTGTATCTAAAGTCAGCCATGCCTGGAGGTGGAGGGCTCATCAGAAAGATTGATTGGGCCCCAAGCAAACAGGGATTTGACTAACACATACACCTTTGCTGGGGTGGGGTGGCAGTGGGGGTAACCTTGATGTCCCTGAGCAGAAGCCTGGGCAGGAAGGAACTGAACTGTAGTTTGATGATGTTCTCAGCTGTTAGTGGAGTTTCCTGAAAGTATAGGGGGCTATATTCATTCCCTGACCGAGGCTGAAGGTGGCAGACCCCACAGTCAGTAAAATATCAGCCCTTATGAAAGTCTTTTGTTATATTTCAATAGAAATTAATCTGCCAGGAAGTGATATTGAAACATGAAACCTGAGTTCTGTTCACAGAGCCAAAGAATGAATTCCGGGAACTCGCAAACACAGAGACAAAGTTTATTTTAGAAGATAGAGATACAAAGTCCTCAGCATAGACTCTGAGAGGGGGTGAAGGGCCCCCAAAAGGCAAGGATTATAGCAGTTTTATATCTTTACCAGTGTTGATCTGTACATTTTTGGTTGGCTCATGACTTTAAGTCATTTTTGACCAATTAATGTAAACATCACAATGTCCCGTTTGTCAATTTTATGGCTTTCTTGGATCCCCCAGTTTCTCAGTTTCTCTAGACATTGCAATGCCATCTCTTGACCCTTTCTCAAGACCCCAGACCATTATTTAGGGACCAAATGTATGTTTTAAGAGCTAATGGTCTTCTTGGAGTTAGTTTTTTTTTTTTTTCCCTTGATAAACTGGATAGCTGTTAATGATTGTCTTGTCCTGGGTCTGAATGCTTTACGACCTTTCATTTCAGGGAAGCATTCCTCTGAATGACTGGAAATTGGAACAAAGAGTGAGATGCTTACTTGAGAAGAGAAAAATTGAAATTAAAAAGGGAATTAAAAATTGAAATTAAAATAAGTCTTACACTGTTTAGCAATTTCTGCTTTAATTGTAGGGAGAACTATAAGAAAAATCAATGTATGAATTTTAGTTGGAAAGATGTTACTTATCTTTAGGACATCTTCAGAAGGTCGGGGTCAGAAAGAGGCTCATGTGAGGGGAGTCTAACGGGGCTTTAAGGAGGTCAGGGTCCAGAACCTGTTGGACTCAGTGTGTTGTATTGTAACATGATCCCCTGTAAAATTTCCTTTGTGTTATTAGCTGAACTAAGGTGGTCTTGAGACCACAAGTTTGGTCTTGTGTGAATATGACTGAGGCATTCTTGAGTCTCATGGGCATCCCTGGTGGCTCAGTGGTAAAGAATCCATCTTCCAGTGCAGGAGACACGGGTTCGATCCCCAAGCCAAGAAGATCCCCTGGAGGAGGAAACGGCAACTCCAGTATCCTTGAATGGGAAATCCCATGGACAAAGGAGCCTGGAGGGCTGCAGTCCATGGGGTCACAAAACCAGTCAGACACGACTTAGCCACTAAACAACAACAGCAAAATCCTTGAGTCTGATGCAGTTCAGAAAATCTAAGTGCTTGGTAATACAGGAATGTATCTATGGCCTTATCGACAATGGCCATTTAGCTCTATTTTGTGCTCCCGAACCAAGGTAACGTTATTTTGATTTCTAAATCTATTTTTCTTAATAATTAAAGTAGATATACAATGTATGTTCAGTAGACCACAAACAGGGTATTTTAGTTAAGTTATATTGTGTGTAAGCCAGAGTGACTTACCGACACCCTGATATATGTGTTTATGTGTTTGTAAGCATGTCTAATTTTCTCCCTGCATCTTTGTGTGTTTAAAATGCAGACTTTGTTTTTTAAAACAATGTCCATGAATGTAGGATTCTAATTAGACAAAGATGTGTAATTCAGATATATGTCACTCTCTTTTAAATTTTTAACAGGTGGCTAAACCCCTTGTTTAAAATTGGTCACAAATGGAAATTAGAAGCAAATGACATGTACTCGGTGCTTCCAGAAGATCGCTCCCAGCACCTTGGAGAAGAGCTGCAAGGGTGAGCCCAGGCAGGAGGGAGAAGGGGAGGGAGAGTGAGAATTTCCACGTGTGGCTAAAGGTGTGGGCAAAGCTTTGCCTTCCTCTGGGTTCTTCTGAGCCTCCTTCCCTGACACTGAACCCTCACCCCTTCATGCTGACCCTGGGCTTAGCCCACTTTGGAGGTTGGGGGAGCCTGTGTTCCCCTAGTGAGTGGACGTGGAGGGAGCCCACAGCCATGGCCCTGGAGACCTAGCTCTGTCCCCAGAGGTGGGGTCCCTGGAGGAGAGTGTCTGCCCTTCTCAACTGCTCATGACCTGTGAGTTCAGCAATGCTTAGCAGGAACTTGTTTTTAGAATCTGGGACTTTTTTCTGAAGACCTGGTCTGGTGCTTTTCCTGGTGCTTCAGAGTCTGCTCCGCTCATCTTTCAGGAGCCCTGGGAGCAGTTAGCCAGCATCTATGGGGCCCCACAGAGCGGCCTGTAGTGAAGGCTCATCTTCTGCTCTGTCCCCTCCCCTGTTTTCTATGGCAGGGTTGGTCTTCACTGTGCTTTGTTTCTCTCCGCAGGTACTGGGATCAAGAAGTGTTGAGAGCCCGGAAAGATGTGCGGGAGCTACGGGAAATCCTACTTAGTTTTGGGAATGTTAACATTTCTTGAGGTAAAAGCTTTTCCATATAGTGCTTTGCTTTTCAGTGTACATGGGTCAGTCCTGAGATGGATGGACTGAGGCGGGGAGAGGACAGTGGTTTAAGGTCTAAGGGTAAATCTCATCTAGGAATCATGATGTAGATCAGCAGTTGCATTTCTCTTTAGAACAGACAGGAGCTTAAAGGGCTTGAACTCTGGGGATTACTATTTTTCTTTTAATTGATTAAAACATCAGTCATTCAGTCAGTTCAGTTGTTCAGTCATGTACGACTCTTTGTGACTCCATGAATTGCAGCACTCCAGGCCTCCCTGCCCATCACCAGCTCCAGGAGTCTACTCAAACTCAATGCCCATCGAGTCAGTGATACCGACCAGCCATCTCATCCTCCGTCATCCCCTTCTCCTCCTGCCCCCAATCCCTCCCAGCATCAGGGTCTTTTCCAATAAGTCAACTCTTCGCATGAGGTGGCCAAAGTATTGGAAAGCTACAGCATCAGTCCTTCCAATGAACACCCAGGACTGATCTCCTTTAGGATGGACTGGTTGGATCTCCTTGCAGTCCAAGGGACTCTCAAGAGTCTTCTCCAACAACACAGTCCAAAAGCATCAATTTTTCAGTGCTCAGCTTTCTTCACAGTCCAACTCTCACATCCATACATGCCCCCTGGAAAAACCATAGCCTTGACCAGACGGACCTTTGATGGCAAAGTAATGTCTTTGCTTTTTAATATGCTATCTAGGTTGGTCATAACTTTCCTTCCAAGGAGTAAGCGTCTTTTAATTTCATGGCTGAAGTCACCATCTGCAGTGATTTTGGAGCCCCCAAAAATAAAGTCTGACACTGTTTCCGCTGTCTCCCCATCTATTTCCCATGAGGTGATGGGACCAGATGCCATGATCTTAGTTTTCTGAATGTTAAGCTTTAAGCCAACTTTTTCACTCTCCTCTTTCACTTTCATCAAGAGGCTCTTTAGTTCCTCTTCTCTCTCTGCCATAAAGGTGGTGTCATGTGCATATCTGAGGTTATTGATATTTCTCCCGGCAATCTTGATTCCAGCTTGTGCTTCTTCCAGCCCAGTGTTTCTCATGATGTACTCTGCATATAAGTTAAATAAGCATAGTGACAATATACAGCCTTGACGTACTCCTTTTCCTATTTGGAAGCAGTCTGTTGTTCCATGTCCAGTTCTAACTGTAGCTTCCTGACCTGCATACAGGTTTCTCAAGAGGCAGGTCAGGTGGTCTGGTATTCCCATCTCTTTCAGAATTTTCCACAGTTTATTGTGATCCACACAGTCAAAGGCTTTGGCATAGCCAATAAAGCAGAAATAGATGTTTTGCTGGACCTCATTTTTCAATGATCCAGCGGATATTGGCAATTTGATCTCAGGTTCCTCTGCCTTTTCTAAACCCAGCTTGAACATCTGGAAGTTCACGGTTCATATATTGCTGAAGCCTGGCTTGGAGAATTTTGAGCATTACTTTACTAGCGTGTGAGATGACTGCAATTGTGCAGTAGTTTGAGCACTCTTTGGGATTGCCTTTCTTTGGGATTGGAATGAAAACTGACATTTTCCAGTCCTGTGGACACAGCTGAGTTTTCCAAATTTGCTGGCATATTGAGTGCAGCACTTCACAGCATCATCTTTCAGGATGTAAAATAGCTCAACTGGAATTCCATCATATCTACTAGCTTTGTTCATAGTGATGCTTCCTAAGGCCCACTTGACTTCACATTCCAGGATGTCTGACTCTAGGTGAGTGATCACACCATTATGATTATCTGGGTCATGAAGATCTTTTTTGTACAGTTCTTCTGTGTATTCTTGCCACCTCTTCTTAATATCTTCTGCTTCTGTTAGGTCCATACCATTTCTATCCTTTATCAAACCCATCTTTGCCTGAAGTGTTCCCTTGATATCTCTAAATTTCTTAAAGAGATCTCTAGTCTTTCCCATTCTGTTGTTTTCCTCTATTTCTTTGCATTGATTGCTGAGGAAGGCTTTCTTATCTCTCCTTGCTATTCTTTGGAACTCTGCATTCAAATGGGAATATCTTTCCTTTTGTCCTTTGCTTTTCGCTTCTCTTCTTTTCACAGCTATTTGTAAGCCCTCCTCAGCAACCATTTTACCTTTTTGCATTTCTTTTCCATGAGGATGGTCTTGATCCCTGTCTCCTGTACAATGTCATGAACCTCCGTCCATAGTCCATCAGGCTCTCTCTCTATCAGATCTAGTTCTTTAAATCTATTTCTCACTTCCACTGTATAGTCATAAGGGATTTGATTTAGGTCATACCTGAATGGTCTAGTGGTTTTCCCTACTTTCTTCAGTTTAAGTCTGAATTTGGCAATAAGGAGTTCATGATCTGAGCCACAGTCAGCTCCTGGTCTTGTTTTTGCTGACTGTATAGAGCTTCTCCATCTTTGGCTGCAAAGAATATAATCAATCTGATTTCAGTGTTGACCATCTGGTGATGGCCATGTGTAAAGTCTTCTCTTGTGCTGTTGGAAGAGGGTATTTGCTATGACCAGTGCATTCTCTTGGCAGAACTCTATTAGCCTTTGCCCTGCTTCATTCCGTACTCCAAGGCCAAATTTGCCTGTTACTCCAGGTGTTTCTTGACTTCCTACTTTTGCATTCCAGTCCCCTATATTGAAAAGGACAACTTTTTTGGGTGTTAGTTCTAAAAGGTCTTGTAGGTCTTCATAGAACCATTCAACTTCAGCTTCTTCAGCATTACTGGTTGGGGCATAGGCTTGGATTACCTTGTTGTTGAATGGCTTGCTTTGGAAATGAACAAAGATCATTCTGTCGTTTGTGAGATTGCATCCAAGTACTGCATTTCGGACTCTTTTGTTGACCATGATGGCTACTCCATTTCTTCTAAGGGATTCCTGCCCACACTATTAGATAAAATGGTCATCTGAGTTAAATTCACCCATCCCAGTCCATTTTAGTTCGCTGATTCCTAGAATGTCGACATTCACTCTTGCCATATCCTGGTTGACCACTTCCAATTTGCCTTGATTCATGGACCTAACATTCCAGGTTCCTATGCAATATTGCTCTTTACAGCATTGGACCTTGCTTCTATCACCAGTCACATCCTCACCTGGGTATTGGTTTTGCTTTGGCTCCATCCCTTCATTCTTTCTGGAGTTACTTCTCCACTGATCTCCAGTAGCATATTGGGCACCTACCGACCTGGGGAGTTCCTCTTTCAGTATCCTATCATTTTGCTTTCTCATACTGTTCATGGGTTCTCAAGGCAAGAATACTGAAGTGGTTTGCCATTCCCTTCTCCAGTGGACCACATTCTGTCAGACCTCTCCACTATGACCCAACTGTCTTGGGTAGCCCCACACATCATGGCTTAGTTTCATTGAGTTAGACATGACTGTGGTCCTGTGATCAGATTGGCTAGTTTTCTGTGGTTATGGTTTTAGTGTGTCTGCCCTCTGATGCCCTCTCACAACACCTACCATCTTACTTGGGTTTCTCTTACCTTGAACATGGGGTATCTTTTCACGGCTGCTCCAGCAATGCGCAGCTGCTGCTCCTTGCCTTGGACGAGGGGTATCTTCTCACAGCTGCCCCTCCTGACCTTGAATGTGGAGTAGCTCCTCTCAGGCTCCTGCGCCCCACAGCACCCGCTCCTTGGAGGTGTAATGGAAAGATAGCACTGGAAAGGAAAGGTATTTTATACCATGTTAGGATGTTCTTGGTGCTGAGTATAAATGCTGAGTGATCCTGGACCAAAAGAATATCTTACAGAAGAATCTGCCTGCAATGCAGGAGACCCATGTTCAATCCCTGGGTCAGGAAGATACCCTGGAGAAGGAAATGGCAGTCCACTCCAGTATTCTTTCCCGGAGAATTCCATGAACAGAGGAGCCTGGCATGCTCCAGTCCAGGGGGTTGCAAACAGATGGACACGACTGAGCAAGTATTACTCACTCAAACTTGGAGTCAAGTCCAGAATAATGTAAGACGTTTTATAGGTGCTCAGCAAATAATTGTTGACTTTCCCAGGTCATATCTGATCAATGCTTTCTAAGAAAGGATCATCCCCTTTCTGTGGAACAGAACCTGGGGCCTTGCATCTGGGCTGGAGCTGCCAGAGCTCTCGAGAGCTCTTCCCTGGGGTGTCCCTGGCACACCTTTCCCTAGGGTGCCCCCTCCCCATAGGCCAGGTCATCCAGGCCAGACTCTTACGTGGGGAGGAGCTTCAACTTCAGCATGAATTCTGTGCACCCTCCATGCTGGTTTCTGTCCTGGCTGTAGGGGTGTTTTGCTGGTTGAAGGGGGTCCTGGTAGCCTGGCATTGGCAGAGGGGGGAGGAGGGGATGTACAGCGCAAACCAGAGGCAGAAAGCTGTGAGGTCAGTGACCTCCGTGACCCTGAGGATCCTGGGTCAAGACCCCCCAGTGAGACAGTCTCCCTGGGGACACAGTGCCGGCAGCCCCCTGTTCTGGCTGAGCCTGCTGGGGGTCTGCTGCAGGCCCCCCTGGGTGGCTCGTGCTCTCCGTGGTCCCTCAGTACTGCCTTAGGGACACGGGCGGCCTGTCAGTGTGTGAGAGCAGGAGGGATGGAAGATGCAGTTGCTGTGAAAAGGGTGTTTCAGGTGGAGAAGGTGTGAGCTGTTGTCAGTCCATTGTGTTTGGGTGAGGTAGATGGGCCAGGTGGTTCACAGGTGGGCGGCATGGCTCTTGTTTAAAGGCTGTGCTATACTGAAGGGCCTGCGGGCAGTGGGCAGCTGGATAGGTGAAATATGACCCACATAACTGGAGAGACCAGAGAATCTATCAGCTCACAGGTGACTGGATGGTTCTGGGAGATGGAGTTCTCATTGATGATAGAAGTGGATTGGGCATTGTGCCAGAGGGTGGACATGTGTGTGGGGCAGAGTGCCACTTTTGAGAGGGCACTGACCACCTAGATACTGCAGTGCCTTGTGAATGATATGGGGTGGGAGAGGGAGCAGGAGCCCTTCAGGCTGTCCTAGAC